CTAATTTTAAGATCTCCCTATAATTATCTAAAACCTCCAAAAAACAAAAGAAGCCTCAAGCAAGCCTAACCCTTCTCAAAGGAAACAAAGATCAAAACCAGCCTAAACACCAAAACAAAACCGAATCTGCAGAAAATTCAGTTTACTGACCACTACTAGGCCAAAGATTATACATTTGCATCTGACTCAGTTGCAGTTGAGCCATTGAGTTTCCATAAATCCCATTATAGTTGTTGTCATTGTGCTGCATTGAAGGAGAACCGCTTTCATTCTCTTCTGATGACTCGCTTGATGGTCCTTGAGAGTTTGATCCAAAGTTCAAGATATTAGCTGGTCCTGAAGCCGGTTCAGGATTCTGTCCCTGAGCATTGTTACCCGTACTTTGTTTCAGTTTCTTTGCTTCCTCAACAAAGCTTCCCACTATGACCTAATATATGAAGCCACATTTTGAGTCAAATAACAAATTTGACTCCAACACAAGTTACAACCATTAATGAAAAAAAGATTTAAACATTTTTACCTTCACTGGTGTTGCAGCTACTAGCGGACCAACTACAGTGCCACATAAAATCTGGAAATTGGGATCAGCCAAAGTCACAGTCAAGCTACCACATCTGGAGATGGAACCATTTACCTCATAATTGGATAAGGAGCCTGAGAGTTTAACGATATCAAACCGTCCCTGCAAATGTAACAGATGCACAAATCTCAACACTAAGAAACAAATATTACTTTACACTACTACTGAAGTCAAATAACATAGTTTTTTAAAAACCTTATGAGTAAAATTATGAAGTGTCATTTCAGAAACTGCGCCAGTTGCAGAGAGAACAGAAACTGTTTGTGGCCCTTCATTAGAAAACGCCACCACCTTTGATAATATATCCTGATTTAGCAAAAAAAAACACACACCAATAAATATGCCAGAAAACAATTTTTTGTCGTTTACATGGATACAGAGCTATCAGATTGGTTTACAGAGTCAATATGAATGTATCTGTTTTAAGTTGATGACAAAAAAATACCAATAAATAACTCAGTAAATCTTCTTCTATCTAATTCACTGAAAAATAATACTTACTCCAAACTTATATAATTTACCAATCTTGAAACATTTAAACATTTTAAAATTTTACTAAAACAAAACAATAAAGTTTTACCTCTCCTTCTTTCACTTCAATGATATGAGGAGTAAACATAACTCTTGACGTTCCTGCTCACACACACAAAACAAAACAGTCCAAATAAATTAACTGTCCAAAGATTTAAACTAATCGAAAAATGAGTTTCGAGTTACTATTTCACCTAAGGCATCATATTGTTTCTTGATAGAGCCTGGAGGTCTTCCTCTGGCTCGTTTAGCAGGTGGATCAGCAGAGTGTGTACTTACTCTGCCGCTATCTCCGTCACGAGGAGAAGTCGGAGCTAAACCTAATGCAATGGTACCATCAGGAGCGTATTTCCTTGGCCTTCCTCTCTTCCTCTTCACTTGTTGTTGTTGTTGCTCATTCTGGTTCTGATCAATCCCAAATCGCATCGGTTGAGAAGAAGGAGATACTTCTTCCACGTGTCCAAGAGATTCAAGCGTTTTCTGATCCATCTGCTGCGGGAGTGGTGCAAGAGAGCCAAAAGTTAGACGAGGAGGTACCATCATTGTGCTAATGTTAAAGTTAGGGTAATGAGACAATAACATTCCCGGTGGTGTCTGAAGCTCTTGGTGCTGTGGTTGTGGGATATCTCTTGAGTCCATTAGAGAGAGAGAAAAATAATCTAAAAAGAGTGTTTGATTGTTTCTTTCGGCCTAATTTTCGTAGACCTAGTTTTTGGTTTCTTTTGTCTTTTATTTTGTTTTGCTAATTCCTAGAAAATTGAGTCGAGAAAATAGTAAGGTAAAGCGTGTGATCTATCTAGCTAACAACTCATCTTTGTCACACACCCAGAGTCCTAGAGAGATGACGAAGTTGTGGGCGGAACTTGTAATTTAATAGTAAAGAAAAATTTGTTATATATAGGGTTTTCGGGATATTTGATTTAATCTACTATTTTGATTGGATATTCTACTATAATCATGGAAGGAAATATTTTAATAGGTCTTAGTTTGTTTTTATTATCATCCATAATATAACAACAAATATTTGTGGTCATCCTTTCTAATATGAATTTAATATTTATATAAATTTATGAAAAAATGTTAGAATACGTTATCTATAAAACTAGGTGTTTTGCCCGCACTTGCGAGCTTAATAATTTTCTAATATCTATAAACAAATATAATCAATTTAAGTAAATTATAATAAATTATTTTTCATACACTTAAAATATTTAATAATAAGCTAAACAATTTTTTTCTATATATAAATTTTTTCATCCTCATATAAATAATTGTCATTACACAAATTAAATGCGAAAATACTCATAAATTTAAAATATTTAATAATAAATTAATATCATCTTTAGACATAACAAAAAAGTATGATAAAATTATCTTTAGTAACGTAAACTATCTATACATAAATTCTTTGCGAATTAATTTTGCATAATTAAATATATATTAACAAATATAATTATTTTCAAGGTTAATAAAGACTTACAACACAATATAAAAAATTAGATAATGATAATTATCAAATTCATGAAATTCATTTTTAATTTAGAACTAATTATATATTAACAAATATAATTATTTTAAATATAATTATTTTTTAATGTTGATAAAGACATAATATAAAAAAAAATTAAATAAGGATGATTATCAAATAAATGAATTTCATTTTTAATTTATAATTAATGATATATTACTGAAAATATAATTATATTTCAAGGTTAATAAAGATTTTATAACCCAATATAAAATAGTTTTAGATCAAGATAAATCTAAAATCATTGAAATCCGTTTTTACTTATATTTAATTATATATTGAAAATTTTAATTATTATATAGTAAGATATCTTTTTTTGGTCAAACAGTAATAACTATTAGTCATTATATAATAATAAATCTAATTAGTCATTAAGTTTATGTTTGCTTCGCCATTAAGGATAGTAAATCTAATTGTCATGTTCTTATGATTTTTATTACCCTTAATGACAAAGCAAACATAAACTTAATGGCTAATTATATTTATTACTATATAATGAATAATTAGATTTATTATAATCATTAGTCTAGATAATGATAATCATCAAATCATAAGAAACATGACAAATAAGATTTGTTTCTAATTATTATATAGTAATAGATCTAATTAGTCATTATATAGTAATAAATCAAATTAATCATTAAGTTTATGTTTGATTTGTCATTAAGGGTAGTAAATCTAATTAATATACGGTTCATAATTATACAATAATAATTTTATTTAGTCATTAATTAAGGGTAATAATTAATCATTAGTCAAAATCATAAAAATATGATAAATAAGTATAATTACATAAAATTATGGAGAATATGATAAATCAAATCAGTGAAATTTGTTTCTAATTTATGGTTGATTATATATTAATTAAATATATTTTTCTGATAACAACACACTATATATAGGAATTATCTTTTTATTTTATTTTTAAATATATATCTAGGTTATGAATAATTCTTATCATTATTATAATTTAAATCATTTATCTAATCAAATAAATATAAATTCGTTTTTTGTTTTTGCTTATTTATATATTTTATTCATTAAGGGTATAAACGATATTAATCACTCTAACTTTTAACGTGGGAGCTCATTTGCGAAAAATCACTTCGCAAATAATAGTATAGATTTGATAGTATAAATTTTTATCCTCCACAGATTTGGTACTACTAATAGTTACATGATCCATTTGATTACATACTTTTGTGATTTTTTTAAACATACTTTTGTGATTTAATATTAACTTGTTTGAGCAATTCATTAGCCAAAACATTAGCTTCAAGCCTAGCTTGTTTATAGGAAAAATTAGAAACTTTGTGATTTTGACAATAATATCATGCAAATTATTGTATAGATTTTTACAAAAAAAAATTAATAGACATATGTGAGAATATTGAGTAATCTTCTGTTGTTGCACGGAAAGCAGGTAGATCTCCACGCAAAGTTGAGACATCTCTATTAGCAATAAAATGAACTAGATTTCGGCCCGCACAACCGTGCGGGTATTTTATTACGAAATATTTGAAATTATATAATAAAAATTTTCAATAAATAAATATAACTTGATTATGTATATTATCTAATTTTATAATAATGTTTGTGTGACTTATAATATTATTAATATAAAATTTATAAATTTTTATTTTTGTAACAATTTTTATAACATTATTATGTAACATTACTAATTTATATATTTTTTTATTTCTAAATTTGAAATATATGTAAAAAGTAAATTAAGTTGGACCTACATAATACATAAACAAAATTTTGAGATATTGTTAAACGTATTTTACATAATTTTAGTTTTTTGTTTATAAAATAAATGAATTAAAATTTTAATTATATTTTATAATAATTAAAATATTAATCAAATAATTGTTGAAACTATATCTTGAAAAGATTCTAAAAGATTTTTAAAAGATTTTGTTAGAATTTTCTTAAAACTATTTATATGTATTTCAAATAAAATTAAAGATGTGAAAAGATATTATATTGATGTTATGTAAAATTTTATAAAGTTCTAAGGATAGTATAAATTAAAATATCACACATGAAGTGAGTCATGACTTCTCTTTTAATATAATAGATAATGAAAAATGAGTTATTCTTAGGTTCATCCTCTAGGTTCACCAACCAATAGAATAGTATTATTTTATATTTGATATCTTTTTTAAAAGAAAATAAAATCTTGTTAAGTTATATTATTTTTTAAAATAAAAATACAAAAAAAAAAGAATATTAAAAAAAAACGAAAAAAACTTTTTTTAAAAAACATTTAACACTAAAACACTAAACACTAAACCATAAACTCTAATCCTAAACCCACTAAACCCTAATCCTAAACCCACTAAACCCTAATCCTAAACTCTAAACCATTGGGTAAATCATAAACCCTTTGAAAAAATCTTAACCCTTGGGTAAATTAATACTAACCAATTATAGTATTTTTTCTTTATTTTTATCTTTTTATTTTAAACACATGTTTTTAGTTTAAAGATATATTAAAATATTTTTTGTTTTAAATTGTTTTTTTTGCAATTATTACTGTTTTTATTTTATTTTTATCTTTTATTTTAAAACATAATATAATTTGACAAATTTTTTTTTTTTAAAGATATCAAATATGAAATAAACTCATCCTATTGGTTGGTGAATCTAGAAGGGTGAACCCAAGAATCTATACTATTATTTGCGAAGTGATTTTTCGCAACAGAGCTCTCACGTTAAAAGTTAGAGTGGTTAATATCGTTTATACCCTTAATGAATAAAATATATAAATCAGTTAAAAATAAAAACGAATTAATACTTATTTGATTAGATAAATGATCTAAATTAATAATAATGATAAGAATTATCCATAATCTAAATATATATTTAAAAATAAAACAAAAAAAATAATTCTTATATATATTGTGTTGTTATCCGGAAAATATATTTTTGATAAAAAAAATTCAAAAATAGAAAACACATAAATAAATATTCATAAAGTAAAATTTTTAATTGTATATAATTCAAAAGAGAAATTGAAAAAAGTAGAATACGTAATTATTTCAAATTAAAATCATATAATAATATAATATAATGATATATATTCGTGAAGTTGTTTTTCGCCTCTGAACTTATACATTAAATTAAATTTATGTTTATATTTTATATAGTTAAACCTTAAACATGAATTAATCATATAAAATAAAAGATCACTCAAAAAGAAAGAAAATACGTGTTTGACAAAAATAAATTCAAATATATTGTATTATTATCCATACTAATTTTATTCTTTCTGTAAGATCAATTTTTGAACGTATATTTATCGATTCAATTTTTCAAATTGAAAGATAGATTTCTATATTTTTTATCAATTACGAATAAATGAAAGAGACTTTAGATTTTTCAAAATTTTAAAGGAAAACATTGATTTGTTTTTAATTTGTGAATAACTTTATCAATGTAAAAAAGTTTAATGTTTAGGTCGAATTATTTGGATGCAAATAATCATTTATTTTGATATTTATTTAAATTAACTTAAATATAATTAAGCCCGCATATGCGGACAAAACACCTAGTAAGTCATGAAAAATAAGAGAAAAAGAGAATAAAAATGGTTTTCATTTAAAAGATTTTATTGTTTTTGAGAGAATTTTAGACATTTTCGTTTTTTATGATCAAAAGAACGTAATGTGACCAATAATTTAGGTGTTGACGAAAAAGACCAATAATTTAGGAATGCCAATGTGTTAACACTCGAATGTTAATTATGAAATTCATTTTAGCTACACATCATAGCATTTTAAACTACAACTCGTAGAAAACCACAAAGAGAAAACTGATTCAGTACCAAAGACGTAAGAAATCATATTAACACAAGATATCTCTTATGGTTAAAAACAGACATTAACGAGATATAAACGAGATTTAACTCTTGTTTTCACCAAGGAACAAAAGCTAGAAGCCATGAGCATCAAGAAGTCTGATGCGACTGAACCTGAGCTTGTGATTTTTAAGTTCAGCATCTGATCTCATAAGATCCAGCTTTTGTTATGTATCGAACCCACTCAACCGTGTTGTAACCGCTCTTCTCCCACACCTATAAACCATTCAAGTCCAAGGTATTAGT